GCATTAAACAGGAAATCTCCACTAAAGAAAGTTTTTTTGTTTTGTTTTTTTGGTCTAAGTCTCTCCATGTTTGAGGACCTGAGCTCCATAGAGCTTATCTAGTTGTAACACTGAATTATTCATTATTAAAGCACGTTACTGTGGACAGTTTGCACTTGAAGGCTTGAGAAAGAAATGTCTGTGTAGCTTCTCAATCTAAGGACCTTGGAAAGAAAAGGGACTGGACTTCTTTGAGTTTCTTGAAGATGTTTTACCTCTCATCTGAGAAGCTACGTCAGTTCTAAAACCAAATGCTGGAAAGTCCTAGATTGTAAGCAACTGTTGATCATGTGCTTCATCACATGGGCCAAGATGTGAAACAGGGTGCTGGTCATTATCAGCAGAGGTTTCGGGTGAACCCATTGTGAGACATTGCTTCACCCTATTATGTGAGTTACATGGGAAGAGATCGCAAAACTACACTATAGGTAGCAGAGAGTTCAAAAATGGTGCTTCACAGTGGAAATAAATGGCTTCTTTCATTTATTTTGTCCAAAATGTGAATATTGACATCCTTGAAAGAGTGACCTTTGACCTTTAGATGCAGACGTACAGCTGAGTCTTGTCTTGTCGAGGTGGCTCTTCTGTGTTGTGCCGTGCATTTATGAAGTGGCTGTTTGGTTTCTCCAGTGAGAATGAAGCACAACTTTGCACAGATGTTTTATGATCATTTTTGCAGTCATATATTTTTACACAGATCAGACTTTGAAATCATTGCATTTTTCTTCTTTTTACTTCATTTTTTATTCAACTCTTCTGTCAACATTATTTGATATTTCTGTCGACTTTCAGGGGAATTAAAATCTAAAATAATTGGTGAATATAAGCATAGATATATGTAACTGTAATTGTTTCTGTTTTAGTTCTGTTTGAGCCAGTGTTTTGTTTTACATTTGAAGACAGATAATTCAAAATATATAGAAAAAGTATCAAAAATATAGTTCCCTGTAATATTTTGTGAGATTTTTACTCTCCTAAAAGTTTTTGTTTTAATTTTTTAATGGAATAAAAAACTAGAGTGAATAAAAAATAAAAATAAATATAGATATGAAAATGAAAATAAATAAGAAATAACAAAGTAAAACTGTGAAGTTACACACAGTATATTAAACCCTATATACAATTATTTTTCTTGTTTGCATGAAAAGGTGTTTCTGGAGAGTTTTGTCTCATGCGAGGTTTTTCTCTTATGTAGTATTGAGCAAATGCTGGCTGTGAATCCCGGAAAGACGCCCATCAGTCTGCTGCAGGAGTATGGAACGCGGATAGGCAAGACCCCAGTGTATGACCTGCTGAAGGCCGAGGGACAGGCCCACCAGCCCAACTTCACGTTCCGCGTCTCCGTCGGAGAGATCAGCTGCACCGGCCAGGGGCCCAGCAAGAAGGCAGCCAAGCACAAAGCAGCTGAGGCTGCTCTGAAGATGCTAAAGGGAGGCCTCGGAGGTCCTGCCGGAGTTGGTATTGGAGTAGACGGGTTTATTGGGGTTGATGTGTCTACTGATGCAGATGGGTCAGTTTAA